TGAGCTATAAATACTAAATCATAAGTAACTAAAATGTGTTTTATCAATTTGCTAAGAGATACGCAACGATTTCTCGAGTGAATGGCTGGATAGACTTTTAAGTTTGATTTACTATATTATTCGGTGAAATACAGTGGGTATTTTGAACTCAAAATTCTGGAAAATTACTGGATAAAGTGCATTTAATCAATCCCCTAAAATGTACATAACGAAATTTTGAGAGATCTATTTTAAACTTTGACCACTGTAATTACTCAGTTGAATCCCCTGAATTTTTTGAAACGATATGAGCTCAAAATAATGGAAAAAAAATGTATTATAGTTTAAGTATCTAGACTATAAATTGATTTGAAATTTTTATCATGTGATCGTATGTTATGAAAATGAATTATTAATATTTTAAAAACTAAAAATGTAAAAATAAAATACACGAATAAAAAAAAATACAGAAATTAGGAAATTCTATAATGAATGTTCTTATCTAATTTAACATCTTGGTAGGTTGATGCTAAAATTTACGTCTACCAATATTTCAACTTAGTGTAGCAGTTGGGTTCCTATACTACTTTAACCAAAACATAAGGCGCTTTGTGATGATTACATGCACCGATACATGGGACGAAATGTATTTGCCTGATGTCAAACGTAGATTGCAATTTCTTCATCAATCTACCAAGAATCTAGTAGATATGGAAGTCCATTCTGTTAGGGTGGGTAGAATTTCCTAATTTCTGTAGTCAGGTTTTTTTTTTTTTTTTAATTCAAATATGTTTTTACTTTCACTTACTATATTGATATATGTAATATATAGTCAGGGAAAGTATTGCGATCGTGAAAATTTTCGACTCTGAGTTTTCAACGGAAATATTGAGGTATCCTGAGTTCAAATAACTAAGTATCCAAAAATTCAAAAACGAAAAGTCGTATGAAAGTGAAATTTCATATTTAAGGTTTGTATATACCTTGTATGTTACAGCAACTTTTTCATAAAAATCGGCGAACCGGAAGTGCCACTTTATATCAACGGTGAAACACAATTTTACAATTTTCTCTACAAATTGATTTGGATTAAACTCGGCGTATCATTGTATGATTAAGTGTTCATATAATTTAGGTCTTGTCCCCATTGATGCCACTTTACAGGGTTTAAATGCCCAATGTTCATATATATCTTAATGCAATGTACCTTTAATATGGTTTATTTCAAATAATTAACTATCTCACATTATTAAGAGTTACGAGTTAAATGCTAAATATAACTTTTGAAAGAATTTGATAATTGAACGAAATAGAAAAAAAAAAATGCTTATCCAGGCCGAAAATAAATATCCGAAAATAATAGTCAAAAAGTATAATAATATATCATTGGAAAGCGGAGAACTTTAGAAAAAAAAATATCTAATATAGAAAGCTGCAGAAGGTAACGAAGAGTGGCGAAAAATTATAAATAATAATTTTTAGAAACTAATATTATGTAACGTAAATCACATGTTTTCAAGGAAACTAAATGAAATTCACTAACTGAATGTAAACTTTTAAAATATTTTTAAGTTTGAAACAAGTATTTAAAATCAAGGCAACAACATGTTTAAAAAAAAATATTTCATTGTACTTATGTGAAAGAAGAAGTGAAATATAAAATCATTTCATGGATTTATAAAGCATATGTTCACAGCCTTAAATGCATTTACTGTTTAATAATTCTAGATAAAATATATATAAAAATATTTCATGGATACGTTTATAACCTTAAATATATTTATTTTAATTTAATAACTCTAGATCTGACATTATATTTAAATAATTAGGTAGCAACGTTCGTTTATTCCAAAAACTCGTAATGTAACTTTTTGGAAAATTAAATTAATGAAGAATTTGACGAATTTTCCCTTTGTGAAATCCCAACATTATCATATCTTCCTCAAAAGTACCTTTGATTGGTTTGTTATAAATAATAACCATTTCTCATTGTTCGAAACTATGAAAAAATGCTGAATATATCTTTTGAAAGAATTTGATAATTGAATAAAGGAGGAAAAATACTTATCCAGACCAAAAATGAATATCCGGAAATAATAGTCAGAATGTATAGGTAAAATAAAACGTTGGAAAGCGGAGAATTAAAAAAACAACAACAATATTTAATATAGAAAGGTGTAGAAGATAACGGAGAGTGGCGAAAAAAAATAACATTATTTATGGGTGATAAATATTCAAGACGCAGTAATTATAAGGTTTTTATTAGTGCCGACGTTTCAACCCAAACATATGGGTTATCATGAGGACGTGGTTCGAGCATTAGAGTACTTGAATACCTACATGTTTGGATTAAAAAGTTGGCACTAATAAAAACCTTATAATGACTGCATCCTGAGTATTTATCACCCATGATATGTAGAACAGTCGACTAGCTTCCATCAATAACATTATTTAACGTAAATCACGTGGTTTCAATGAAATTAAACTAAATTTTCTTACTGAATGTAAAAGTTAAATCCATTAAAAACGAAGAAGAACTTGAGGATGCCGTTGAATACTTCACACGAAATATTTAAGAAGCAGCATGGTCTTCATCAGTTGCGAAACCTCAAAAATATGAGTTGTTACCAATGTACCCACAATACATAAGGGACTTGATCAGAGCGAAGAGGAGAGCTCGCAAAATATGGCAGACTGACAGACTCCCATCAGATAAACGAACTTACAACAGACTTAATAATGAACTGAAGCGACAGATTGGAAAATTCAAACGAACAACCTATGACAGCTACATCAGAAATCTCTCAACCGACGATGGAAGCTTGTGGAGACATACCAAAAACTTTATGAAGCATCGTGAAGTGTCAGCACCCCTTCGAAGAGAAGATGATTCCTGGGCCGTGACGGACGGAGAAAAATCAGAACTCTTTGCCGAATATCTTTCTTCTGTTTTTGTACCACACACAGACTTCACTAACACTGTGCACAATAACAATGTACTAAACACTTTAGACGTGCCCTTACAACTAACTTCACCTCCTATTTCATTCACACCTTCTCAGATTGCTGAACAAATCAAAAAGTTGCCTAAAAGAAAAGCTCCTGGACATGACTTGATTAACGCTGAAGTGCTCCAATAAATGCCTAGAAAAGCTCTAGTGCTTTTGACAACTATTTATAATGCAATACTGAGGACAACTAAATTTCCATTACAGTGGAAATACTCACATATAATAATGATTCACAAGCCTAACAAGGACAAAAACTCACCTTCCTCATACCGACCAATCAGCTTACTACCTATCTGTTCCAAAAATTTTTAAACCTTACTGAACAAAAGACTTGTTGATATACTAACAAACACCAAAATAATACCTGACTATCAATTAAGATTTAGGGCACATCACTCAACTGTATACCAACTACATAGAGTAACGGACTACAAATCTACAGCACTAGAGCAGAAAGTATATGCAACTGGCGTATTTCTGGACGTTGCTCAAGCGTTTGACAGAGTTTGGCACCAGGGTCTTCTCTTTAAACTCAAGACAATACTCCCACCTACATATTATCTAATTCTACAATCCTTCCTTTCCGATAGATTTTTCTCGGTCCGACATGGCTCAGAACTATCTTCCATCAGGTCTATCTCAGCAGGAGTACCTCAAGGTTCAGTACTCGCTCCACTACTCTATATCACATACACCCATGACATACCTTGCTGTCCCAACATTTTAACAGCGACATATGCAGACGATACAGCAATTTTAGCAAGACACAAAAATCCAACATACGCCTCACAGACCCTACAACAGTATTTAACAAGATTACATGACTGGTTCAAAATTTGAAAAATCCGACTAAATCAAGAAAAATCACAGCACATCACATTTACGCTTCGACATGAAAAATGCCCTCCAGTTTTCCTTGACAATACACAGATTCCACAGACAGACACCGTTCACTACCTTGGTCTGACATTTGACAGAAAAATGACGTGGGGCCCACATATAACCAAGAAACGAAAAACGCTAAATCAAAGATTAAGAATTCTGTACTCACTTCTTTCAAAAAATTCAAAATTAAAACTTAGACAGAAATTGAACACATACAATTACTTAATAAAACCTATTTGGACTTACGCATCACAAATATTTGGAACTGCTAAAAAGACTCACTTAAACAAACTTCAAACCTTTCAAGCAAAAACATTCAGGACAATCACAAAAGCACCTTGGTACGTTAGCAACATAACCTTACATACTGACCTCTATATGCCGACTGTTAACGAACACATCCATAACAACTTACAAGGACATCCTAATACACTTATAAATGACATGGCCACTACGAATATGCCAGGTAACGTCTGTAGGAGACTGAAGAGGAGCTGGATGAGGGACCTCCTAGCCTAACGTAGATATCACGCCGAGTGAGGTGCCGCTGGGCACTGATCCTCGTAATGCCTTTCATGAGATTATTTTTTCCAATCAAACTCACATTCACTGGTTGTCATTACAATTATGACAGGTGTGAATAAAAAAATAAACCAAAAAAAAAAAACTAATAGTCGTACTATGCATAATCAACCGGTGATATAATAAATAGGACTTTTGATATTTTAATGGTATTTGTTACCTGTAAGCTTTTAGCTTTAGCTCGGTTAAAAATGCAATTCAAAAATTTATAATAGCCCAACATGGCCAGAAAATAGTTTCTATTCAAAGTTAAGCGGTAATTGAAAGTTGTGTGTTGCACGCATCAGGTTTTTATTACATGTAATAATTTAATTGTAGTTTATTTAATGACTGTTAATGGATTTTCACCCAGCACTGCTTTTACAGAATTCTTAGGTACAGAAATTAACAAAGTTCATCTACTAAAAGAAATAGTTATGCCCTAACGTATATCATCTGTTGCCTAGAAGTCTAAAGTTTAAAAGTCTATGTTTCAATTTAATTATATTGGACGTGGTTATTGATATGAGAGTTGTGAGTAAGAGAGTTGTCATTGATACAAAATATTAATTAATAATATATTTTTTGAAAAAATAAACACAATACATGAGAAGCTATATTCTTGAATACATTAAGAGTAATTTATAATGTTCTAAATTTATATATATACTTTTAGGTTGAGCCTAGATAATTACGCGTCTAGTTATTCATTGAAATCAATGAAGTGTTCGCTAGGATGTAACAAGCCCAATTCCACTAGCTGTTCCTCGTAAGCGCCAATATTCCTCTTCATGATGTCCTTGCACGGGCCGAGGAGCCTCTCGAAGGCGCACACTTCGAGGAAGGCCACCTTCACATGGCCCCTCGCGATCACTGAACACACTCGAGGCTTGAGGGTGAGGAGGGCCACCTCTCCGAAGTAGTCCCCGTCACTCAGTTGCTTTATGAAGACGTCTTGATGAGATTCGTCCTCTCGCACCACGTCTACAGTACCATTCTCGATGAAATACATTCCGTCACCGGCATCTCCTTGTTTGATAATCTCTTCCCCATCTGTATAACACTTTGTAACCAGAGCATCGGCCACCTTCATTCTTTCTATTTGTTGCAATGATTCCAGTATAGGGACTTTCCGGATCATATCTTCCAGGCGTAAACTCCTCTTGAAGGAGCTGCTGAGGACGATCCTCTGGAAGGTTTCCCTGTCCAGAGCCCACAGAATACCATCTGTCAAAGCGACTACTGATGCTGCTCTTGGCTGGTTGTACAGAAGCGCTAACTCTCCAAAGTACCCATTGTTGGCGTAGTGGCAAAGATCCGTTATCATATCGTTCTCTGTTTGAAAGGCGTTGAAGATCCCAGACTGCACGACGTAGAAGTAATCTCCATCGTCGCCTTGCTGGATAACCATCTCTCCCTTTATCACGGCTTTTATAAACATAGCATCGATGATTTTGTTGAGATCATTTGGATCGAGGTTCCTGAAGAACAAGACATCGGGGAGAGTATTGACTAGTCTGGCTCTTTCTTCTTCAGTCTTCGGGTAGAGTAACTCGAACTCATCGGAGGCCCCTAATTCTCGCGGGTCGTAAGACTTTCCGAAGACCGATTTTCTCCTTTGCGTAGCCAATTCTGATATTTTATCTTCCTCGCTTACTTCGGAAACAAAATCAATTTGTTTTGAAGATTTCAATTTGATAAAAAAATCTAAGCAATATTGTAAAGTGTCATTAGGTTCATTTATCAAAAAGTTGAGGGCCAATTCATAAAGGATTTCTTGAACATGGTATGGGAAATGAAGAATAGGCCTATCGGTATCCCAGTTTACGAAGTAGTCGTCAACAATTACGTAGGGGCTCTCCTCCTCCTCTGTCATTTTGGTTTACATGGTGGACGGTCCGCTTGACATGCTGCGATGGTATGGTGAGCGATTCTCAACGTTCATTTAATTTAGAAGTAGTTAATGTTATCGATACAGTTCAATATTGTGTTTCATAACCTCTACAGTTTCGTGAGGTTCACAGGAAAAAATTAAATTTATGATCACATGTTTTTGAAAATTCATCATGGGTTTATTATTTAAACACCTTTTTATATTAATTGAAGGTTATTATTGTGTAGTATTTTTAAAGAAAAGTTTAGAACGAAGCCGTAGGATTTTAACATTACAACAACAAAAAAGCTCCCTGAAAAAAAAAATGTTAACTACATCATTATACGCCAGTCGACTCAGTTTCAGGACATTACAAATTCCATTGTCAAAAACGTTGAGTTGAGCGAGATTTTGTAGAAAATAAGGCACTACGCTACAATTGTCAAAAATCCAGGTTCGAATCCGATAGTGATAGACCAGGCTCAACCTCTATAAAGTGGGTACCCTTAATAATAAATTAATTAAGGCGACCAATGCAGTGATTATGTGCGTTATCGTACCAATCATATACCTGCACAACCATTGTTTTAGAAACAGTACTTCTCGACAAATTACTAAGCCCAAGACTATGGGTAATAATGTAAAGGCTCATAATACGATAAGGGTTCTTGTTGTAATTAATGTTATGTCCCTAAGTCCATTTATATATTTTAAAGTAGGAAATGGTCTTTACACTCAGATTCACAATAAATATTTTATGGCACCTTTCTAATCTGTAAAGATTGAATTTCTAAATAAAACCAAAATTTGAGGAATTTTAGGTTAATTAAGGTCTCTAATTATATGAATTTGGCATCAAATTTGATGACATTTTTAATTAAGAACATTATTTATTAACAGATAGTTAGTTGAGTTTGCAGATTTCAAATGTTTTGGCCAATTTTCCGATTCTACGGGCGACTGCATAACCTATTGTTCATGAGGTTTATGAAGTCCCTCCCACGTTCAATTAAATAGAAGAGTGAAAAGGAATTATATAACCTCGAAAGACAAAATATCTTATCAAGGTTTGGATATATCGACTAGGTTTACCTATTGTTTGTGTATAACGTAGAAGTGATGGCATTAGAATAAATGACGGTTTTACTTGTCGATTTGTAGTTCACCACAAAACATTAGTCAGGATGGATGAAACTTCACAATCTCTGGTTAGTTTTAAGATTTATTTTCTTCAGTTGGATTCAACAAATTCATTTTTGCGGTTAAGGATTGGTGAGGCAACTATACAATGATATAGGTTTATGTCGTTTTAAGCGTCTTGTTTCTGGGCTAAGTACACCTTCAGCTTTCCAATCACAGATGCATCAGATTGCTTTTCTCGAGTCATCGAGAGCCCATAAAGATAATTTTATTATTAGTTGTGAAACTTGTGAGAATATAATAGATTCTTTAAGTGAAGCCATGAGAAAGTTAAATATTTATCATGTTAAATTAATTTTATTAGGAAAAAGTGGTTTCAGCCTTATACAGATTCGTTAAAACTATACATTTATAACGATGATTGCTATCCTTCACCTAACATGGTGAAAGCTATCAAAGCTGTTGCACATCCTAGTAATACGATTCTACAAATCAAATTAACTTCGATAAGTTAAGGAATTAAAATTTAATCTAGTTGTATTCCCATTCACGCAGAAGTGTTATCAATACCATATTATAGGAACTAACTAAAAATAATTCTTTACGGAATCGGTTGCCTAAATGTGAACAAGCAATCAATGAACTCAAGGATATTTCCTCAGTAATGTCTATGTAAGACACTTCATGATCCCGATAGGGCTTTAGTGCTTACGACCGATAGCTCTTACTATAGTGATGGTGGAATATGGGTATATTAAGTGACATAGGAATATTAAAATTGGGGGTATGGAAAAAAAAAATATTAAGTTACTTTTTAAAGTAGAAACTAGTAAACCTTAAAATTTTAACGAAAAAGCTTTTTTGTCTAAAAAAAATTTCTAGTATACTATACTGTAATATTAATTTAAAAACTGATAGAACGAATTTACATAGTGATTTCAGTATCAAAAGAAAACAAATAAATTCATAATTTAATTTTTTTTTTAAAACGCTTGGGAAATATAATCGATATTAAATGATGATCTGATAGCTGTGAATGCCAGATCATATCGAAGGCAATATTAAAGGAGAAGGTGATATGCTGTCATGACCAGTCGTATCCTCACTTCAAGTACGTTTGAGATTCAACTCTCAACGGAACAGCAAAATCATCTAGGACTTCATAAGTATATCTGTGTGTATTTGTTAAATAAAACTTATTTTGATAATAAAAACACACACAAAACGATGTTTTTCTCAAATATGTTGAGACGATGTCATTATGATATTTAATTTATTGATAATAATTGTTTTCTGTAAACAAAAAAAATATTTTATGGGAAATCATTATATGTCATAAAATGATCAAATGAAGTATTAATCCATTTTTAATTGAAAGAACAAGCCATCAACGATATCCGAAATATTCAATAAGAAGGAATGTGAAAGTAGAAAACAAATTTAAAAATAAATATTTCACAAGCTAGATATAGTTTTCTGTGGTTCTAGTGCACTCCTTCAGTCTCCACGGGCTTACTAGTGACGCGGCTGGAAGAGAGGCACTGAGATCTCCTGGAGTCCGGCTTTGCCTTTCACTTTTGGAGGACAAAGCTTGGCTCGGAGTTCCCTGGGCTAATGTAAATATTGTACATAGGAATGAATGTGTTAAGATAATTTATTTTATTTTTATTTATTGATTTATTTCTTATTTCGCTTATGTATTATTTGTCTATGTTATTATATTTTCATATTTAGTTTTTCTTAGTTTACTCATTTTTTTTTATTTATTCAATTTTTTATTTCCCTGTTATATATATATATATATATATATATATATATATATATATATATTGTATGAATGAACACATTTAGCCTTGTTACTTGTTGCCCTTTAATGTGGTAGATTGTACTATTTAATTTTCAATAAAAAAAATAAAAACTAGATATATTGTTTATTAATATAGTAGTCACATATATAATTTTATTCCGGGTATTTAAAAAAAAAATACTGTTATTACAAGAATTTAATCAATGGTACGTATATTAGATAAAATTTAAAGTTTGTGTCTTACTTACATCTCACTGTCTACACCTATATTAAACAAAATATAAGCGAAAAATAATCTTGATAATAAACAAAATTCGATTCAATTTATTTTTTATTTCATAATTATAAATATACAAACGGCATTTGGCAAACGTTTAAAATTAGTTAAATCCCCACTTTCTGTTTAGTTATTCAAGTATGCGCAGACGTAAAGTATTCCGAAGTAAAACTCGTAAAGTGAAGTAATATTTGCTGAATGACTGGTTGGGGTGAAGCTGAGTCCTTGGTGGTAAAGTTTCACAATTCATGAGAAAAACTCACCACAGCCGTAAGGAAAGTTTGTTCTTCACTTTTTCAGAAATTTATTTTTAGCAGAGTCTTTCAACTTCTTATCTTCTTATTATTATTCGTATATTATTAAATTAGTAATTAGTAAATAAAATAGAATTATTTTATTTAAATGATACGGAGTTTCCAGCAATTGAAATTTACCTTGTTGACTCAGTGTTTAAAGAATAATGTATTTTTCTAAACTTGGCCTAAAAGGTGATGTTATAAATATGAAGGTGTCGCCCCACTAACCGTCAGCTAGGTGACAAGCACTTTAAACTGAACCCTGGAAAATGAAACCATTAAGTGCTCATACAAGAGAAAGAGGCCACCGTTCAGCCCTAACAAAACACTTTAACAATTCAAATGAAAGCTGACTCGGCGACATAGGCCCCTATAAATCCCTTTAAAGGATTAGAAGGATTATGAGCCTCAATTCCCCACCTCCTGTCATCAGTCCCTTCTACCACAGTTATAGTCCGTCTGAAATGAGATTGCCGGTGGGTAGAAGGGAAATGAGATGCGCAGTGGCAAAACGTTTTCTCACCGATTCTCCACTCTTTTGTCTTCTCTCTACTCGTTCCGTCAGTTTGACTTCCAGTCTAGTCAGTAAAGTGAAATGTACTTCTACATTTTTTTTTCAAGTTGAAATTTCTTTACTACTTTTTTTTATTCCATTATTTTTACCAATTTTCGTATTCCATATCAGGTAAACTGGGTAGAGAGAAAACGATCCACTCTCAGACCAAAAAAGTAATTATGTATTTGAATCCATGAAAGCGGAGGCTGAGATTGGTTCAATCCATGCTTCCTCTGTTATGAAATAAGAAAATAATTAATCATAAGAAATGAATGGTTGTATTAGATCATTTTCAGATCTACAAGTTGGTTTCTACGATCTATTTCTTGGTAAATTTATTTCGATTATTGAATCATTCATGTGTGCGAAACTTGAAGAATATCGAACGAAGCGTTCCCAGTACTCGGTGATTACTGGGTAGGGTGAGGTAGTATAGAGCTTGAGAGGGATTTTGGGAAGATGGTACTTAAGAGGAAAAGGCTGCGTAATCATAGAAACATAATAAACTGGCTATTTTCGAAATATTTTTAATTATTTCATTTTTTTAAATTATAAACTCCCACTTATGGCCAACATTTATCTAATAATGATTCACTAGTTATGTTTCATACTATAAACTAATACCGCGTGGTACAGACCCCTTTTATCAAAATATGAACATCAACCTTCGTGAATAGGTTTATCTTATCGGAGTTAAAAGCCTCCCGGCACCGAAATACGCACTCGTGAGATATTTACTAGAGGTAATTACTATCGCATAACCTTCACCTGTTGTCTTCTACCTATAGGCACTGTGGCTGGTATGGTACAATAGCGCTGTTAATGTATTAAAATAATATATTATTAAATCAATCGAAAAACAGAGATTTATAAGGGGCATCAGAGGCCGTCTAAGGCAGAAGACACAAATCAAGATAGCAGAAGGTACTGCTAGGATTCCAAAAGTCATATCACAGTTTTAGAGTACCTCAAGGTCCAATACTGTTCCAATTGAGGATGAGGCAGCATAGATGAAATATGGAACGAAAGCCCCCACATAAAAATCAATGTGTTCTCAATTGTTTTATTTTATCAATCCATCGTTGAGGTTTCTTTGGTGCTAGATAGTTTCAAG